CCCGAATCTATTTTTTGTATCCGTAGAACTCAGTTTCTTGGGTAATTATCGATGGGGAGGGTTTTGATCTGGAATTTATGGTGGAAAAAGCCCTAATCTGGGTATGGGGACCAAGAGTTTGGTCTAGGGTTATTGAGTTTGTTATAATCCGGATAATTAGACCTTTGATTGTTGATCCTTGCGTATAAATTGTTGTTTTTATACCACGAACAAGCGGAAAGAATCCGAAAAGGGAAGACTCAAGTGCCTTAGGGGATTCAAGCTTGGATTCGATGTAGGTGATGGTTGTGATTTCATGTTGGTGTGATATATGTTTGTAATTGCTTTATTATAATGCATGTATGTATGCGAATGTTGCATTATTGATCACCCTAATCGTAAATGAGGATAATTATATAGTTGTATGCCATGAATCACCTCTTGTTGTATGATTGTGAGAATAAACATTGTGATTGTGATTGTGGTTTGTTGAATGGGCGGGTGTCACGATCTGACACACTAACTTGGATTGGTTGCCATGTTCCGGCATAATTATGAGATCGGTTGCCACGTTCCAACATAAATATGAGATCGGTTTCCACGTTCCAGCATAAACATTGGATCGGATATCACGTTCCGTTATGCTAACAGTTTGGGTGTGGGTTCTATGAGAGGACCATTGAATTGGGTTCCGTGAGAGGACCATTGAATTGTGTTGTGTATCTACTTGTGATGATTACGTTCATATCTAATGATGATTGATATTGGAAAACCGTATGTTGCTCTAAATTGATGACCAATGTGTATTATTGAGAATGTGGGATGCTACATTGATCCTGAAAAGATGACTAATATTGTATATGTTCGGTATATGTTGAGATCGGTTTCCACGTTCCGGCATAAACATTGGATCGGGTACCACGTTCTGATATGCTTAACAGTTTGGGTGTGGGTTCTATGAGAGGACCATTGAATTGGGTTCCGTGAGAAGACCATTGAATTGTGTTGTGTATCTACTTGTGATGATTACGTTCATATCTAATGATGATTGATATTGGAAAACCGTATGTTTCTCTAAATTGATGACAATTGTGTATTATTGAGAATGTGGGATGCTACATTGATCCTGAAAAGATGACTAATATTGTATATGTTCGGTATATGCTTGTTTTATAATGTTGTAGTTACTTACATGTGTTTCACTTATTGGGATAGCCGCGTGATCCTACTAGTACACTGTGGTTGTGTACTGATACTGCACTTGTTTGTTCTTTGTTGAGTACAGGGCATCTTCAGGTGGCTATTGATAGACCTCAGCTAAGTGACTATTGATCGTGACCGGATTCAAGGGTGAGCCAGTTCTTTCAGGCTGTCATGGATCTCTCTTGTTTAAGTCCATTCTTTTCGGACTCAGACTATTTGTTTAAAGTGTTTGTTTAATTTCGGGGTTGTACCCCTTGTTCTTAGACTTGTCGTTAGTAGAGTTTTGGTACAATGACTTTCCGATTCTAGGGGTTGTTCTTCTGCATTAGTTTGGCTAGTTGTTTGTTAAAACTTTGGAGTTTATGGGGACTCCATTTTTATTGTCATTTAAACGTGCTTTCATAACTTTAAATGACTTAGTTTTCATTAAATTTGTTAGTTTGGGTTGTAGTAATGGTTCTCCCACCGGAGGGTTAGTGTGGGTGTCAATCACGACGGTTTGAGTCGTGACAATATCCTAGCTATATTTGATGAAAATATGATTACAATTACATGTAATTGTTTATTTCTTTATTATTATTTAAAAAACGAATTTTAATTTTCGAATGTTTTGATAAATAAAAAGAAATATATTTATTTTGTAATTTGTTTTAAAAAATATGTATATTTTTCGTAAATATTCCTCTTTCGTTAAATATTTTAAAATTTTCCAAAATAAAATGTTTCAACATAACTTAATGTAATTTTTAGAACTCAGAAACAATTCTTGCACATTTAATACAAACTAACAAACAACCTAAAAAAAACACATAAGGAAACCTATATTACCTACATAAAACTTTTGTAATTTTAATTTAAAACTACTCCTCATCTCCAATTCATATAAAAATAAATCTCATCTCTTTACATATTTCTATATTTTACTATATTAGAAAGGACAGTTTCAACATGTCAACTTTCTGGTATTAAATTAAACTTTAAGGGTATTAAGGTCTTTTTAAAAAAATTGCAAGATAAACTTCCTATCCGCAACTTCATTTTTCGTTTTGAGACAATATGGCTTTCTCATTTAGATTTTCCTAATCTGCTTAAGACGAGTTGGCGCAAAGATCTTTCTTTGCAGGAAAACATAGACACATTCCAACAACAAGTTCATTACTGGAATATTCACACTTTTGGGAATATATTTCACCGAAAAAAGAAACGAAGAGTTGGTTTCTATAATAATAATAATTATAATAATAATAATAATTATTATTATAATAATAATAATTATTATTATAATTATTATTATTCTGAAGACGGGCGGTAGTCCGCGCGGTTATCTTTGATCTAGCTTTGTTAACATCCGAAAATAGTTTCGAATCGAAATATAAATAAATTCATATGATTTAATGACTGTATGGAAGAATCAAATCTTTTACCCAAGCAAAGGGTCTGTCGAAAATCAAATACGTATTGTTAATGAGCCCATGTGTCTAGCAGTTCTAACCGGGTATGGAGCGCCCTTTTAACTTCTTTTTGCGGGCTAAGACCACGGCTGACTAGACGGAGTCACTAAGACAAAGTCATTAACTTGTTGTATTGATTTTGACTGTACCACCATCTCAGAACCAAGTCAAGAAATTATATATGAATTCATGCGTACTTAGATAAAGTCTAGATCTTTCATGGTAGATATATAATCGAAGTTAGTTATCCGGCATAGATATAAGTCTTTAGCCGATCATTGGCTTTAAATAGGAGAAATAGTAGAGAAGTAAGAAGAGAAAATACCTTAAGAACAAACAGGAAATTTTTATTCTCCGGCCAAAGTTCGGCAAACTCGCAACACAATACTTACAAAAGCTTTAAAAGAGAGAGGGAGAGAGTAGAGAGAAGAGTTGGTTTCTATAATAATAATAATTATAATAATAATTATTATTAGGCTTAGAGGGTAGTTTTGTCATTAGTTAATCTAATGCATGCATTAAAACCATTGCATTGCTAATACCTAGAAATCCATGGTATTAACAATACACACCTTAATACACAATAGAGTGTATAACTAATGCAAGCATTAGTTATACATAGATTGGAAAAGAGTACCAAACAAGGTACTAGTAATACACAATGCTAATGCATGCGTTATTTTTCCTAATACACTCTACCAAACGACCCCTAAGTGCCTAGAAGGATTCAAAACTCCATACACTATCCGACAAGTGACTTTCTTCAGAATCTTGAACAACACTTACTATCAGTGGCGGAGCCAGAATTTTCAATAAGGGAGTTTAAAATCTGAAGAAATAGACACATGAAGTAGCCGAAGGGGGTTCGACATCTACGATATATACCTAAAAAATTGTTTTAACCATGTAAAAAAAATATAATTTTCCATCGAAAGGGGTTCGGATAAACCCCTTAAAGATATGGTGGCTCCGCCACTGCTTACTACTCGAGTATAAGAATATTCTTCGACTGGAGGAAGATTTTTGGAAACTCAAATCTAGAGTTAATTGGCTCAATGATGGTGATGCTAATACAAAAATTTTCCATCTGTCTACTATTCAACGGCGTCGTCGAAATCGCATTACCGCCTTAAAAGATACTGTAGGGAACTGGATATTTGAACCCTCTCTCATTCATAACCACATCCATCAATACTACCTTTCGTTGTTCACCACTGAACTGGATAGGTCATTCAACCACTCCCCATCTCCCATCTTTTCGACAACAAACTATGCTTCGCTCCATCAGATGGACACTATTTCGAAATCTGAAATCCACTCAACCATGAACTCTTTTGGTCCTTTAAAGAGTCCGGGTCCAGATGGTCTACATCCCATTTTTTTTTTATCAAAAACATTAGGCCACTGTGGGCCGATCAGTGGTGGATTTTTGCCAACAGATAAATCTGGCAGAATGCCCCCTAATATGAATAAAACTTTTCTATGTCTTATTCCTAAAACCAAGTCACCCACTACTATCCAGCAGTTCCGACCTATTGGTCTTTGTAACACAGTCTACAAACTCGTTACAAAAATGATCGTCAAGCACTTGAAGCCTTTCCTTCAAGTCGTCATTAGTCCCAACAAATCTAGCTTACTCAAGGGACGTCAGGCGGTTGATAGTGCTATCATCGTTCAGGAGATCCTATCTCGCTATCGACGCATGAAAGGAAAAGTAGGGAGTATGCTCATTAAATTAGATCTGAAAAAGGCCTTTGATCGACTTGAATGGTCCTTTATACGCCAAGCCCTTCTCTATTTTGACATTCCTCAACACTTGTCGACTCTGATTATGTCTTGTGTTACGTCATCTTCCATCTCCATACTCATTATTGGTACCAGAACTGATTTCTTCCAACCCACACGTGGTATTCGACAAGGCGATCCTCTCTCACCTTATTTATTTATCATGTGTATGGAGCTTTTATCACAGTCCATCCATCAAAGTGTCTATCAAAATAAATGGATTCCAATTAAGCTCGGACGACAGGGTATTTCTATCTCCCATGTTTTTTATGCGGATGACATCATTCTTGTCTCCAAAATAACCCAGCAAAGCTGCAACACCATCATCGACACCCATAATAAATTCTCCTCCTATTCTGGGAAAAAAATAAACTACAACAAATCTCGCATCTTTCTATCCAGAAATTCTTCCCACGAAGATAAGGAGTATGTTACTAGTTCACTGCATATGAAGGAAGGAACTATAATGGGCAAATAACTAGGTTTTCCTCTTACTCACACTCGTTATCAACGTAGTGATTTCCTATTCCTCATCGCCAATTTCAACAACGTCTGGCTGGATGGAAAACAAAATTCTTGACCATGGCAAGGCGCACTACTCTTATCCGCTCCACTCTTAACGGCCTTGCAAACCATGTTATGCAATTCACTATTCTTCCGAAACAGGTAATATCTACACTTACCAAGTTTCAAAGAGCTATTCTATGGGGATCTACTAACCAAGCTCGCAAACTACACCTTATCAAATGGAAAATCATCACTTCGAACCGATTTTGGGACACAAGACCTACAGTTCAAAAACCAAGCCCTTATAGCAAATCTCTCATGGCGATTGGTGACGAACCCCTCGGTTCTTTGGTTAAAATTACTCACAACTCATTACATTCCCTCTAACGGCGCGACTACCCCAAAAAGACCACAACTCCCTTATGGCGAACCATCCTTAGAGGTTGGATAACTTGTCAACAAGGCATCTTGTGGGAAATTAGTAATGGGAAAGATATTCTCTTTTGGGAAGATGCTTGGTTAAATCCAAATGAGACTCTTAGACAGAATCATGGCACATAAGAGAAGAAGGGCTGCTAAGCCAGATAGAAGCCTTGGAACACCAAATTTATAGGCCCTCTACCTCGGAATGCCCTAACAAAGCGAGTGGCAGACTATGTTCTTAATTATATTATCGTTGGAATTTAGACCAAGTCATTAACACTTTAGATGAAACAACGATCCTCAACATCAAATCAACCTATATCCCAATATACACTCATGCTAAAGATATATACTCGCACTTGGGGATTATTGACTTCCAATGGGATTTTTACTGCCAAGCCTCTTTACAAAGCCATTCACCCAGCCACCGACGATACCAACACCACCTCCTTTAGCTGGATCTAGAAACTTTCTATACCATCTAAATTATGTTTTTTATTGTTTGGCAATGTTGTCATCAAAAGCTCCCCACTAAATCATACCTCGCGCGCATTGGCATTTCTCCGATTGATACTTGTCCCCAATGCCACAACTTTGTCGAAGGTATCAACCACGTACATACTATTATTCTGACCTCATGCAAAAATTTTGTGGTCTCATCTTAAAATGTTACATCTGCTAAATGCTCAGGATTTGACCAATGCACCTCCTATGGACTGGATTCCTAAATTAATCAAGCAATCCGGGCAAACCCCTATCTCTCCCGTTCCTTCGGCCACCCCTGTTTGCTTTGGTCTTTGGATTAACAGAAACAATAACCACTTTAACCATACCAATAAATATCCAGATTACAGGCAACCTATGCAAAGGGCAATTGAATTTCACTCTTTGGGACCAAATTACAAACCCTCTCGAATTCCCATTTCCATCGACTTATCCTGGTCCCCTCCAACTAACGGTTTCAAATTAAATACTGATGGGGCATGCTCGCAGACTAGTACTCAAAAAGGAGGCTTTGGTGGAGTCATTCGCGACTCTGCCGGATCATGGATTATTGGATTCATGGGATCGGTACAAAACACATCTCCTTTAGCTACTGAAATGCTTGCGCTATTTCACTGTCTACGCATTGCTCAACTTCACAACATACAACCATTAGAAATTGAAATGGATGCCCAGGCAGTCGTACATCGATCTACTTTGTAATCCTCATACAAGTGCGTCTAACCTGTTGTTTTATTGCAGGTGGCTACTTCACCAACTGAATAATCCTAAGCTAAGGCACACCCTTACAGGGAAAACAACGGAGTAGCAGACAGTTAAGCTAAAGAAGCATCTTCACCTAACTTTTTGGAAGAGATTGCTGTGTTAGACGTGCCACCTAATTTTGTCAACACCACCCTTGCAGATGATCGAACATGTAAGCAAAGGAAAAGGACTATCTCAGCTTTCTCTAATAATCATATTAGTTTAGATAGTAGTAACGTAGGTAACTCCAATATTTTGTATCCGCCACTCTCTACTTTTTTGTGTAATATGCAACCTCTAGGTAACATTGAGCCTACGACTCCTATTCCCTTTATCAATGTAATGTAGTAATCTATATAATATCCTTATTTACCAAAAAAAAAGTAGTATATTTTGCATTGTTATTTGATCATAAGTAATACCTCTTAAAAAAGTCCTTTTTCTATTCAACTACAAATTATACCATGCCATTCAAGAATATGATCGGTCCCACTTTCTTAATATGTCATTGAAGAATATGACAGGTCCCACTTTCATCTTTTTTTTTACTTATTCATTATTTAAAAAGAAATTTCATTTTGATTGTCATTTTTCATATAAATATTTTTTTTAAATCACATTTTATCTATCGTATTAATTAAATATTAAACATCAATTAATAGTAATAGTGTAATAAAATAACTATATCAATTATTTTTTTAATAAATATGTCAAATCTAAAAATGACAAGTAAAAATAAGCGGACATGCTATATAATAAAAAGATATATAATAAGAAGAGATTGTAGAAACGATAAATAATGACAGAATTAAGGAAAATGTTATCTTGACTGAGATTTTTATGGGAAATTAATTCATATTCTCTAATTATAATTAATAAAGTAAATAAATGGTATCATTTATTTTACTCTTATATTAAAAATAAAAAATTGTTTTACTTTTTATTTTAATAAATTAAGAAAATTTAATTATTTTTGCCTGACTTTATCATTATCGTTAAGTAATTATATAAAAATACAAATAGTCAAATTAAAAATTTCAAAAATATAATTGATAAAAATAAATAAGGCATCTTCCCCTATGCTTAATATATATACACTCTCTTATTATATAAGAGAGAGTTCACACTTAAGCAAGCATGTCTCTGCCAACGTGCCCTGCTTCAGCATGTTTCAAAAAAGAAAAATTAAAAATTTTATTTATTTTGTTCTACTATAATTTAATTAGTGTATAATATTTTCAAAATTATGAGATCCGTTTTAGCTAGACTTTTAGTTTGAATTCATATTATTAGTTATAGCTTTATATTTTAATGTCAGTAATATTTGTTTATATCTTGTATCTACTTTGAGTAAAAAATTAACGATTGATGACGAATAATACTTTAATTATGGACATCTTAAATGAACCTCTTCAACATTAAATTTGCGCAAACAAAAGTAATTATCAACTTAAGGACCTCTTCACATTAAATTTGAGACAAACAAAAAATAATTGAACAAACTTAAAAAATACTAAAAATCACATTAAAATTAATACAACTTTTAAATTTATCTATATAACATTAATCAAATTAAAAAAATAATAGATCTTGGGCCATGCTAGCATGGGCACCTGTGTCTAGTATCTATCTACTGCTATCTTATAAATGAGAATAAGCACACACTTTGTCAACATGCCTGCCTGGCTTCTAAGAGTATTTCAGTCATTTCAATTAGAGTGAAGCAATATAATTGGGACCTCAGGGAATTTTACTATAGAACCTATGTATACTTTTTGAGTGTGTGGACTAAATTGTCCTTTGCATATGTCATCTTTTTACCACACAATAATCCAATCCAAGTTAATTCCCTCACGTGTCACGTCCCCAACCATCCCCCACTATTTCTTTATATGTATTTAAAATTTAACATTATCTTTTATCAAGATTAAAATTTAACATTGTCTTTTATCAAGATTAAAATAAAAATAATTTGTTCATAAAATTTCAACAAATTCTTAGAAATGATAGATTAATTATTATTGTTATCAATTAATATGAATGTTAATAAGTGGCTAAAAGGAATTCTTTTGAAAATTTTTCTGTGTTAATTTATTTATCTTATTACTTTTTAAATTTGTTATATATTTGATAATTAAATAAAAAGGACTATAAATCCCAATATTAAAATTAAAATAATTTATTCATAAAATTTCAACAAAATTTTAGAAATGATAAATTAATTATTATTGTTATTATTAAATATTAATAAGTGGCCAGAAGCAATACTTTCGTAAATTTTGATGTGTTAATTTATTTGTCTTACTTCATTTTTTAATTTGTTATATATTTTATAATTACATAAAAATGACTATAAATCAAAATAATTATAATTAAAGATTTAAAATAATTTATTTTCTTGGTCAACTCTCGAATTTTTATTTGTGCCACGTAAATTGAGATAAAAAGAGTTTCATATATTATGTAAATAATGCATAAGATATATTATAAATCATAAAATATCTAAAAAGAAAATATTTTAATTTTTTTTGGGTGATTCTGAAAATTCCGCTTATGCAGCATAAATTGAGAAAAAGAGAGCAATATATATTATGTAAAAACTACTAGGAAGTACAATAAGTTGCAATAATTAATAACTTAAAACCCTTTTTAACAATATAATTTTTGAATGACTCCAAACTACATTTATATCACATTAATTAAAAAAAAACATATGTTTGACCCGTGCTAGCACCGACGCCTTATATCTAGTATTATATATATTTTACTTATATAGAAAAGACAGTTTCAACATGTCTGTTTCTTTGTCAATAAATTTTAAAATAAGGGCATTTTAGTCATTTAAACTCATCAAATGGATAAGGATGTTGTCCATTCTCCTGTATGTGTCTTCAAAGATGAACACATGGCATTTTAAAGCTTGTATAAGCTTTTTTCTGTTCTTTGGTTTTCTTCTTTCTTCTCTAAAATGCTTTTTATAGTATAGAAAAGTAAGTGAGTGGTGCTATTCTATGGTATGCTTTTTTAAAATTATCTCCTACTTTTTGAATTAATGTTAGATAATTTTCAATGGAAGAACCCAATTTTGTTTTGCTATCTCACTATGCTAGATTGAATTACAAGATCTATAAGGTTCTGTTTTGGGTTAGGAAATTTTTTGTGTCACGCTCCGAGCCTACACCCTAGGCGGGACTGGCACTCGAAAACCATTGCTGACCCCAAGCGAACCCTTGGCCTGACTTACTTAACTCAGCCGAAGACTCTAAGCATGATTACAATGATCAAATGAATTTACTCAAATAGCTTAATAATATAACTTAGAATGTTAAAGAATTAAACATTCAACTTGGCCAAAATGGCAACCCAAGTTGTCACGGCCCGAGCTACGCGCGAGACGCGGACACGGGACCT